TAGCACACATGAAATGGAATGCCCATAGGGATGTTACTCAAAGAGGAACTAAGGGATAGAGGATGAGGGAACAAGAGCTGCAAAAGTGAAATATGCTTATTTTTATGTACACATCTGCAAAAGCATCCACAGGCAGACCCTTAACCCTATACAAAGCCTCATTTAAGCTACTGGGGCTCTGACTCTATGGACCAATGTGCAGGATCTAGCACTATGTTTGTTCCTCTGAGTCTGTAAAAGATTTAAGTCATGTACTAAAGTCTGGGGATGGTATCTGGAATGAAGGCAAGAATGGAACTCAGTGATGCTAAACAAAGTTAATATTCACATTAGGGATCCTTCAGCAACAAAGATGGGAAGGGAACCACATCTCACTTCTTTTGGGTGAGAGGAGAAAAGAATAATCTTGAAATTGCTCAGTGTAGTTAAAAAAAACCCTTTGGATTTTTAAATGTATTAGCTGTGTCATGCCTTTTGTTCTATAGAAAGAGTTAACAATGCCTACAGTGGCCCCAGGAATACATAGCTATAAGACACTGTAGTCTACTTTTAAGGCAAAAAAAAATCCTAACAAAGTACTCTGCATTATACAGACAATAGTAATATTGTTTTTCAATTAAAGACCAGCTGGGGAAAGAAAACTTCAGGTAGCACATGTAACAGCCTACATAGTGACCACATTCAAACCAATAATTCACAACATCGAAATACTGGATTAAAACCACTGTTTTTTTAGAAATTATAAAAGGAAAAATAAAATGAGAAACGGGTTCCCACATGACACACTACAATAATTCCATTTTAATCATGACTACATCAGTATTCTGAGAATCTAAAGAGAAACCAATTTTGCACTGAACAAGCACTTAAAATTGAAGAAGATCAAAATTCAATAGTTAAAAATCAAACAGTATTTTTCCTTTTGGATTACATTTTCTTCATATTCTATCCCTCCTATTCAATTACAGTTTTTGAAAAATACTTCATCACTGAGACCATCTGGTAACTCAGAAATTCAGTTACAGTTCACAGTTCCTACGCTCTCCCCTACTTCTGAAAACAGAGGGTTACTGACTGCTCAGGGCTTTATATGTTCATTACAGACAACAGCCTTTAAGAAATCCTCAGAGACTGCAGATCCTATTCCTCACTGACTAGCTGGCTAAAGCAGCAATAATTAAGCAACAAGACAGTGGGCAGTACATTTTTACAGCATGCTTGGGTTCCAATGCATAAGGCATGACGCTGAAAGTAGAGTAGCTAACCACCTGAGAAGTGCAATAATCACTTTGAAATGCAGTGTCTAAAGTACCTTTTTGTAATGAAAATAAATGTAATCCATAAAAATAAGGGGAACAAGATGTGCACTGACATGAAGAGATCATCACTCGCAGTCAGAGTTCTGAAGTCACATTGTAATACATGCATATACTTCAATCTCCTTTCTATCCACGGAATATAACTACCAGACCCTTTCAAAACAATCAGTACAACTGATTCCTACTCCAGAGACCCATGTATCAGTACTTCAAACTTTTATGTCTTGCATTCCAGACTCACCCTCCCTACCTCAACACTGAACCTAGTGCTAGGCTCCTGCGAGGCACTGCTGCTGCCTTCCTTCCATTCAGTTATGCATGATCCAATGTTGAGCTTGAGTGCTCCACATTTCAGTCACACAGCTAAGAGATTGGTCTAGAACAGCCCAAAGGTTAAAGGTCACAAAACTTAACAGGAGTCTAAAGACACTGATCGGTACAGTCAATATCTTATTCTGGTAAACAGATACAATTGTCTGAAAGACTGGGAACCAGTTCTCTATTGAAAATGGTAGTAACAATTAAATAAAGCAATGGTTTTAAAACCTGGGTAAAACATAGGAGAGAGCACTGGTATTGTGTTTAGGATAACTTTACATGAGTCCAAAAAAAAAAAAAAGGCAGCGTGGGCCAGCAGCAAAATTCTCAGTTAGAAATATTTATAGATAAAGAAGCCAAAATTTTCTCCTGGCAGAATCTACAATGATTTAGTGCTTCTGATTTCACTAGCAGCACTACAAGTTTGTCCACTTAATCAGAGAATTTTACATTTGTGTAAAACTTCAGTGAAATTACTACATGTGACACCTGCATTATTCTTATGAATACTGTATGTGACTGTTTCCCTCTTCAGTTTTGTACTGCTGCCTACTTGAACGCAAAGGTTAAGTCAGACCAGAGCTGAGGGTTGGTCTAGGCAGGAAATGCAACAAGGACCAAGGCTATGTCTACACTGCAGCTGCGAGGCGTAATTCCCAGCTTGAGTAGATGTATATGTGCTAGCTCAAGCAGAAATGCATAAAAATAGCAGGTTTCAGAGTGACAGCCGTGTTAGTCTGTATTTGCAAAAAGAAAAGGAGTACTTGTGGCACCTTAGAGACTAACCAATTTATTTGAGCATGAGCTTTCGTGAGCTACAGCTCACTTCATCGGATGCATACTGTGGAAACTGCAGCAGACTTTATATACACACAGAGAATATGAAACAATACCTCCTCCCACCCCACTGTCCTGCTGGTAATAGCTTATCTAAAGTGATCATCAGGTTGGGCCATTTCCAGCACAAATCCAGGTTTTCTCACCCTCCACCAAACAGAGCTAGCACATGGAAGTCTACCCGAGCTGGGAACTACACCTCCCAGCTGCAGGGCACACATAGCCTAAGAGAGAAGACAGCCGCAGGCACACGCTTTCAAAGAAGTCCACTCCAAAATTCCACCCCAGAAGGTAAAGCCACAAGGCCTGACACCTGCTGGGGTGCACTCAGTGAAACCCTGAGAAAGGACTGTCATGCAGTTAGCTTGGTAACTGTCACATTAGCTTTGAAACCAGCTTTACATCAACTCAGGTTTAATTCCATGCTTTTTCAAATTGCCCAGGGTCACTATATAACCTCCACAGAGCAAAAGACAAAGGTCAGGTACATATATGCTGATTATTTTTAGTTTTTTCAACAGCCTGTGAAATCGCTGACCAACAGCTCTGTTGACTTGCCTATGGGCATTAACTGGATTACACTGTATTGTGCAGGAGTTGTTCTGTTCTTTCATCTCAGAAATTCTAGAAGAAATTCTGACTTTGGGCAGCAGCTCATCTTCTCCATTGGCTCCTTTATGTTGGTTCCTACAGAAATCTATTGTCTTCCAAGCATATTTGCTCAATATGCATGTGAAGCCACTGTGGGAGCCACTAAAAGAGACTGGTAAGTGATATAATCAGTACATGAGCAACAAAGAGTTCTATGCCATCTCTCTTATCCACTTCAGATATATCTACTTTCATGGTGCCTTGCAGGGATGGAGACATGGACAAAAGCAAGCCAGTCCACACATGCTTGAAGTAAAATTGACCATCTGGAGGAGGCACTGTGAGTGGGTTCTGCCCAAGCTTTTATATTGGTACTGTGAATAATGGTAAAATATGTGAATTCTTTCATTACATGAAATGAAAATCTTTTCAATAAACACATACTCTACTTATCGATCTTATGCTTTTCAAAAGAAAAACTACACTGGAGATCAATAGCTTTAGATACAGTTGGTTGGACTGGGCAATTTATGTCACAATGAAGGTGCCCTAATTTCCTTAGCCTTTCTGAATACAGATGCTCCTTAGATCCCTGTATCAGCTTCTTTTTTGCAATATGTACTTTATTATAATAAGAAACTAAGACAGCATTATAAATTTAGCTAACAAAAGACCTAAATAATTTTAATCTAAACAGTATTCCAAATGCGGCCTCACCAGCGTCACATACAAGGTAGAATCACATACTCTGATTTATATGCCACAACTTTATTTGTCTCAAATAGCACCTGATTGTGCTAGGTGTGATTACTCTCTAAAGAGACAAGTGACTTTCAGAAAGCGTTCATGTTGACCCCATCTGGAAAGGTGCTTACCAAATGTGGATTCTAGACTTGATGAGGAGCTGTCTGTTGGCATAAAGTCTCCTTCATAGGCCTTTGGTACAACTGCACTGGCTTATTAGATTTATTTATTAATCGTGTTCAGCCCATGGTGCATGTTATAGATATATATTTCCTCTGGCTCAGTGTTAGTTTGTCTGATCACTGAGAATATATTCTTTTTCTTCTAGTTAGTCTCCTACCTCATTACTTTGCTTTTCTCTAAAATGTGTAGTATAAATATATAGTGTACTCCTACTTTTCACTAGACATCTTAATTTAGAAGCTGATGTGGTTGACTGTTCTAATACCTGTTTCAGAGTAGCAGCCCTGTTAGTCTGTATTCGAAAAAAGAAAAGGAGTACTTGTGGCACCTTAGAGACTACCAAATTTATTTGAGCATAAGCTTTCGTGAGCTATAGCTCACTTCATCGAATGCATCCGATGAAGTGAGCTGTAACTCACGAAAGCTTATGCTCAAATAAATGTGTTAGTCTCTAAGGTGCCACAAGTCCTCCTTTTCTTCTTTCTAATTCCTGAGTTACTGTATTAAGCATTTGTGCCAAATGAAAGCCTGCCAAGAATAAAACAGTTTACTAAAGGGGTGGGATCAGCACTTATACCTGTAGTTACAGCAGAACAGTTATACAATCATGTACAAAAGATTAAAAATCACAACAATGTTAGACTGTAGTAGATATTGGGAAAACCCTAAGATTTTATTCAGTAAAAACATAGATTAATGTCTTAAAAATAGAACTTCCTTCTACCATAGCCTGAAGACACCAAACTTTTTTTTTCCCTCAAGAGTGTGTGCCCTTTAGCACTGGCTGAATTGTGATATTACTTCATTTTTCCTTCTAAATTGTCTTGACTGGACTCCGGCTAGAACAGCTCACAGGGTGACACACACCACATTGTTCTTCAAGGCCACAATTATTGGTGAAATGTACACTAACCAACAATCAGTGGATCTAGTTTCTGCCTCTTCTGAATTCAGGAGAGTAGACAAGTTTTCCCCAATCCACATCAAACAGAATATGCACAAACTTACCAAGAGCCAAATCCTATGGGCCTCCTATCATAATCAGGCAAGTCTTGAGCGATCTTGCACGCTTCTATGTTCAGGTATTTAAATATGTGGATTTTTCCTTTTATGCATATCTACAAAAAAGGAAATCCATAAACATATTGAGCACTTTATTTCATCAAAGCGCTGTACAGACATTAACTAGCTGTTGTGAATAATGTATTACTCAAAGGTCAATAAATAAACGCTTATAACATCCTTACAGCTCTTCATCCATTTTTTGAACCTTCCCCCATTACAAACAACTGCATTGAAGTGTCACAGAATATATGTATAATAAAAAACTGGAAGCTTTTTCCAAAAACATCTGGACTCCGTGGAGCCCTTTCTGTAAACTTGCTCATAATGGTTTATCATGTCAATGATCTTCTCTGAACAAGGAGCTATATGTATTTGTAAGGGGTAAAACTTGGAACTACAGCAGAGGCATGCAAACCTTGACCAACCTAGGTGGCAATGGCAGCTTGCCAAGAGACAGGCCTAATTTGAATCAAGTGAAGTCACTTCTAACTCCCTTCATCTTTAATATGGAGGTAGAATCTATGGAAACTATAAGTCACAGCACTTCCCACTCTGATTCAGAGGAAGCAGGTCATTCCCCAGAGCTATACATACATATTAAAGATGAAGTCAGCCATTGACCACATTGTATTTAGTCTGCAAGCTGCATTTTGGGCAGGCTGCCGTAAAATGAATGAAAATGCATTGCACTTTTAGTTTCCCAGTTCACTACTTCAACAGCAGAATGGCTCAAAAATGTTTTTTGTTCATAGCTCTTCTTCTCCCCCAAAGCTTACTCTGATCTAGAGCCACTTGCTTATTTTACTTATACTGTACAATGAGAATTTTATTCAAAAGGTTAACAAAGGAATTCCTACAGTAACCACATACCTACTACCAGCAGGAGAACTAAATTAAGGGAAGTGGAAGAGTATTTCTGCCATGGGTTTCTTTAAGATCTCTAGAGAAATACAGGTTCTTTAAAATCTTACTGTTCACAAAAGAAAGTTTTTAACCATTCAGTTTCAAATCTCATTTTACATCCTCTAGTGAAAATAGCAGACATTCTAATTCCAAATTATAATTCACCTGTGCAGGGGGTGACTGTAGCGGGTTGTTGTCTAGTGTGATTGTCTGAAGATGCCTGAGGTTCCGATAACAAACAGGGATTGTTGTGATTTTATTGCAGGAGAAATCTAATCGAATCAAAGACAATTCTGCAAGTTCTGGAGATAGAAAACAAACATTCAATCTAGTAGATATAATAAACAATATGCTTACTACTAGCTCTTAGGAAAACAAGCTTTAAAAAGAATAAAAAAGTGTCAAAAATCTCAGTTGTTACATATGACAGACTTTCATCCGCTGATCTCACCTTCAGGTAAATGCACCAAATGATTTCTCCTGATGTTCAGGTCACGCAAAGACTCCAGTCTGCCAATCTGTGGAGGTATTGTCTGTATTTCATTACAGCTCACATCCTGCAAAACAAAACTACGAAGTGAGACACTGTTTTGATACTGTTTCAGAGTAGTAGCCGTGTTAGTCTGTATTCGCAAAAAGAAAAGGAGTACTTGTGGCACCTTAGAGACTAACCAATTTATTTGAGCATAAGCTTTCGTGAGCTACAGCTCACTTCATCGGATGCATTGAAGGAGCTGTAGCTCACGAAAGCTTATGCTCAAATAAATTTGTTAGTCTCTAAAGTGCCACCAGTACTCCTTTTCTTTTTGCTTTGATACTGTCAGCCTGTTTAAATAAATCCCAATGCTAGCAGGCAATTCCTGCCTTCTGGTTTTGTAGGTGTATGTACATTAACTCTGACAGGCAGTGTTTTATTTATAAACTTGAAAAAAATAAACACTTTTATGACACCTAAGATTGTCAAAGTGCTTTACTAACATTCATTAAGTTTCAGCACTGTGACAAAGTTAAGTATTAATTATCCCCATTTTACAGATGGGGAAACAGAAGCACAAAATAATTTTTTCAGTGTCCCAACAACAGCAGAGCAAAGAAAAGAATGAACCCAGGAGAAATGACACTAGATCATAAAAGCTCTTTAGACAAGTGACACATTATGGAAAAAGTGAAGGTATAATGATATTTCCATGTATAGTAAGTTAGCAAACTAGCATGTTAGTGTACATTTCTATCATTCCTCCACAGATTGTCCATTTCCCATTCCTCCACAGACTCTGAAGCAGGAGAGCCTGGAGACACACTACCTGCCATGTACTTTATCTGGATATTTTCAAGGGCCTATCTCAAAACCTCTAAGCAAATTTACAACAACATTTAGAACATACAAAAGGATAAAATACATACTAAACTGCCAGTACAAAAGCCAGCCCAGACTAAATAACTCACCCAAAAATAATATTAACCTCACACGCATCTGGGCATTAGCAGGTGTATGCAGCAGACAGCCAGGGAACAAAGTGAGAAGCTCTAGTAGAGCTATGTGGTGTAGCCCTTAGCTCTACCAGTGCACCTCACTTCTCACTATTTGTCTTTTACCGAGAGCCAAGCTTTTAAAAAAAATCTCAAATGTACACACACATGAGGAATACTCAGAGTATATCATTAAAGAATATATGCTTGTAGGACTGAAACGTGCACATGCGAATCCCTTATGCTTAACAATCTGTCCCACCTTGTATTTAGCTCAGATGCTCTGCTTACTTTTTCCAGGAAGAAGAGCTCTGTGAAGCTTGAAAACTTGTCCCTTGTACCAACAGAAGCTGGTCCAATAAAAGATATTACCTTGCTGTCCTTGTCTCTCCCATTAAAGAATACACGTACTTTTGTAATTATATGCCATTCCCAAATATGAGTTACACACTTATCAAGATTCCATTGCAATTGTCTCTAACATGTCAAGTTGACTAGATTGTTTTTTAAATCCACAAGTTTCATAAACACACTGAAAAACTAAATTAAAAGCTGAAGTATTTGAAAAAAAATAAGATAGCTATCTGTATAGGAGCGACCAATTCCCACCAAGAATATCCCTGGGTGGCAGATAAGTGGAATGTCCTGCAGATACGCAGGACACCTGCAAATATTCAGTAAGCCATTGCAGACCAACTGGCGACATGTCTCAGGATGGGTAGCTGGTGGCATGGCTACCTCTATAAAATATCACTCCCTAAGATCAGGACAACAAGACGAATAAAGACTGCCTTAAAATAAGTTTTGCTGGGGCAGGGGAGGCTAGGAGAAATAAAATTCCAATTTCAAGCCTAAGGTATCAGGTTTGGACAGCTGACCTGTAAAGCTCATCCAATAGACACGTTCATGAAAACTGATGTCCATGTCAAGTGTACCTCCGAGGGCTAGGGTGTTCCTCACAATTGACATCCAACAGCCTTGTCTGACTGTTGTAATTTGGCAAAGGTTGCTAAAGCTAAAGAAGTGAGTGAGCCAGCCCAGATCCACTCTAGGACAGCTGGAAAATGAAGTAAGTACAGTAGAACTTCAGTGTATCAGGGCAACATTTCTAGCTAGAGCTTTCAGGCATTCATTACAAATACTAGAATATTGTGTCCAGTTCTGGTGTCCACACTTCAAGATGGATCTTATGATGTGAATCTTACGGGGGTTAATCTGTTCAGCTTATCGAAGAGAAGTGAGAGGTGACCTGACCACTGTGTCCAGGTATTTTTACATGGAAAAGTTATCGGCTAGTGGGGGATTTGCAGTCTTGCAGACCAGGACATAACAAGATCCAATGGCTGGAAGCTGAAGTTAGACAAGCACAACCTTAAAATAAGCTGCAATTTCCCAGCAATTAGGATAATTAAACACTGGAACATCTAACCAGGGCTGGGGGTGGACTCACCATCACTTGAAGTCTTTACAATGAGATTAGGTTTCTATCTAAAATACTGCTTTAATCCATAAAGCATAGACCACCTACTAGGATCATTTGGGCACACCCCACCTAACCAATTCCCTGAGACTGCAGGGGCGTGGGCATTAGTGGCACCTAACTCTTTCCTGTTCTCTGCCTGTGGCACACAACAGTTAGTCTCCTGAGGACTGAAATGCTTTAGTCTAACTCAAGTTACTGGGCTCATCACAGGGGTAACTGGGCAAAAATAAATGGTCTGTGATATATAGCAGGTCAGACCAGATGATCTATTGGTCCCTTCTGGTCTTACACTCTATGAACAAATAATGCCATATATATCACCACTCGCAACTGTCTCTACCAGATACGGAGAGATCCTGGGACATCAGACACTAGCTATTACAGGACTGTATACTCTTATTTATAGGATAATATGTGTATGGCAGGGAGCCTGACTCACCCACACGGAACTTTTACTTGGAATGCAGAATATATGATAAATTAATGTGGATGTCTTAGTAGCACTGTATTTGTTTAAACAAAGTTCCATTCTGATTCTATCTTAGGTATTTATCTAGACCCCATTACTGTTGTATCTGAGCACCTCACAACCTTTAAACTGTATTTATTCTCATAACACCCTAGTGAGCCAGGGCAGTACTATTATCCCCATGTTACAGATGGGGAACTGAGGCACAGAGAGACTTGCCCAAAGTCACACAGGAAGTCTGTGGCACATCAAGGAATTGAACCTGGTCTCATGAGTCCTGGACTAGTATCCTAATCACTGGACCATCCTTCCTCCCTCAGTTGAATAAAGCTATTTCATCTCAATGAAATTTAAACCCACTAGAGCAAATGATTTATAAATTAAGGACTGAACAGCAATTATTAACAATAAGTATATACTCACAAGCTCTGTCAGGTGTCTGAGCTGTCCAATTTCTTCAGGTAGTGAGACCAACTTATTATTACTTGCTATCAAAACTTTCAATGGTAGACTACACATGTGTACTGGCAATGTTGAAAGCTGGTTTCGACTTTTGGGTAGGAAAAAAAAAAAAGTCAGAATACGGGAAGAGACCATTTACCAATTTTAACACAACATAAGAGAATCCCCAAATCACGTACTCTATTTTGACAGGATGTAAGAGCATCCAAGTCAGTTTCGACACACATTTATAGGTGAGCTGGTAGCTCGCAGTTTCTTCTTTACACATCTTTCTTATCCTTTGCTTTACCAAGATGTGTTGTAAACAGAAGCTCTGAATCTGGTACTACTCCTGGCAGATGGGGAGATAGGGCATTTTTGTAGGAGACTTTTAGGCTCTGGAGCTTACTTCCTCTTTCAGAGTCTCGTCATATTTATGCATCATGCAGATACCATTTTCTTATTTTTTTACTGCGCATTAGCATGTGGGGAACAGCGTAGGGTAGAATCAGCATATTACTTGCTCAGTAGAAATGTTAAGTGTGTGTTTTAATTATTTAATTTGTAATAGGGCCAATTATCATGGTGATAAACATTTAAGAAATCCTTGTCACAATGAATTTGGACATGTTACAATGCAGTATTTGACACATCACAATTTATGACCATCAAAGCAAACATGAGGTCATGTAACTGGACTGCAACCTCAGTGAATGAATCAGACAGGAAAAGGTTGGTTTATAAAATGAGAATGCTATGATTTATTTGTAAACGGAAGCAATCAGACTGGAAAATGACTAGAAAACTAGCGAAAAGTTAATGTTACCTTAAGGAGATTTTAACAAGATATTAAACTCAAGTTTATTAAAATATGGCATTGTTCTTCTAGTGTGTGGAGTCTAAATTTCCCACTACAAAATCCTACTCCTGAGCAGTACATGAACTAATGTCAGCTGGTATCAAGGGATAATAATTTGAAATACACCTGTTGGAGATCACAGCAATAGGAAATCCATCTCTGACTCACATCCTATTCCTACAATGCACATCATAAAGCAAAAAAGGAAGATAAGCAAAAAGTAATTGGCAAAGGGGTAACACCAGATATAATGCAAAATGTTTTTGTTTTTTCTTAACTAGTACCATTACTAGTTTGTGAACAGGGGTTCTGCATACCTCTTAAAACATTGGTTTTAATAATGCAGGTTGCAGTATAGAGTTGAACTTCAATAATAGGCTACAACACGGTTATATTACAGGTCAGGAAATTAATTTTTATTACAGGTAGACATATGTATTTATGTTTTGTAAAAAACTGTTTAAAAGCTACCAGAGCAATGTACTCAAAGGAAAATTCCCTGTACTTTATTAGAAGTTGCAATTAAATACTTCTCTTTCTTGGTTTCAGAGTAACAGCCGTGTTAGTCTGTATTCGCAAAAAGAAAAGGAGTACTTGTGGCACCTTAGAGACTAACCAATTTATTTGAGCATAAGCTTTCGTGAGCTACAGCTCACTTCATCGGATGCATACTGTGGAAAGTGTAGAAGATCTTTTTATATACACACAAAGCATGAAAAAATAACTCCTAACACCCCACTCTCCTGCTGGTAATAGCTTATCTAAAGTGATCACTCTCCTTACAATATGTATGATAATCAAGTTGGGCCACTTTCAGCACAAATCCAGGTTCTCTCCCCCCCCCCCCCCCCCCCCCCCCCCCCAAACCCACTCTCCTGCTGGTAACAGCTTATCTAAAGTGACCACTCTCCTTACAATGTGTATGATAATCAAGGTGGGCCATTTCCAGCACAAATCCAGGGTTTAACAAGAACATCTTGGGGGGGGGGGGGGGGGGGGGCAGGAAAAAACAAGGGGAAATAGGTTACCTTGCGAAATGACTTAGCCACTCCCAGTCTCTATTCAAGCCTAAGTTAATTGTATCAAATTTGCAAATGAATTCCAATTCAACAGTTTCTCGCTGGAGTCCGGATCTGAAGTTTTTTTGTTGTAATATCACAACTTTCATGTCTGTAATCGCGTGACCAGAGAGATTGAAGTGTTCTCCGACTGGTTTATGAATGTTATAATTCTTGACATCTGATTTGTGTCCATTTATTCTTTTACGTAGAGACTGTCCAGTTTGACCAATGTACATGGCAGAGGGGCATTGCTGGCACATGATGGCATATATCACATTGGTGGATGTGCAGGTGAACGAGCCTCTGATAGTGTGGCTGATGTTATTAGGCCCTGTGATGGTGTCCCCTGAATAGATATGTGGGCACAGTTGGCAAAGGGTTTTGTTGCAAGGATAGGTTCCTGGGTTAGTGGTTCTGTTGTGTGGTATGTGGTTGCTGGTGAGTATTTGCTTCAGGTTGGGGGGCTGTCTGTAGGCAAGGACTGGCCTGTCTCCCAGGATTTGTGAGAGTGTTGGGTCATCCTTCAGGATAGGTTGTAGATCCTTAATAATGCGTTGGAGGGGTTTTAGTTGGGGGCTGAAGGTGACCGCTAGTGGCGTTCTGTTATTTTCTTTGTTAGACCTGTCCTGTAGTAGGAGACTTCTGGGAACTCTTCTGGCTCTATCAATCTGTTTCTTCACTTCCGCAGGTGGGTATTGTAGTTGTAAGAATGCTTGATAGAGTTCTTGTAGGTGTTTGTCTCTGTCTGAGGGGTTGGAGCAAATGCGGTTGTATCGCAGAGCTTGGCTGTAGACGATGGATCGTGTGGTGTGGTCAGGGTGAAAGCTGAAGGCATGTAGGTAGGAATAGCGGTCAGTAGGTTTCCGGTATAGGGTGGTGTTTATGTGACCATCGTTTATTAGCACTGTAGTGTCCAGGAAGTGGATCTCTTGTGTGGACTGGTCCAGGCTGAGGTTGATGGTGGGATGGAAATTGTTGAAATCATGGTGGAATTCCTCAAGGGCTTCTTTTCCGTGGGTCCAGATGATGAAGATGTCATCAATATAGCACAAGTAGAATCGGGGCGTTAGGAGACGAGAGCTGAGGAAGCGTTGTTCTAAGTCATCCAGAAAAATGTTAGCATACTGTGGGGCCATGCAGGTACCCATAGCAGTGCCGCTGATCTGAAGGAATACATTGTCCCCAAATGTAAAGTAGTTATGGGTAAGGACAAAGTCACAAAGTTCAGCCACCAGGTTAGCCGTGACATTATCGGGGATAGTGTTCTTGACGGCTTGTAGTCCATCTTTGTGTGGAATGTTGGTGTAGAGGGCTTCTAAATCCATAGTGGCCAGGATGGTGTTATCAGGAAGATCACCAATGGATTGTAGTTTCCTCAGGAAGTCAGTGGTGTCTCGAAGGTAGCTGGGAGTGCTGGTAGCGTAGGGCCTGAGGAGGGAGTCTACATAGCCAGACAATCCTGCTGTCAGGGTGCCAATGCCTGAGATGATGGGGCATCCAGGATTTCCAGGTTTATGGATCTTGGGTAGTAGATAAAATATCCCAGGTCGGGGTTCCAGAGGTGTGTCTGTGCGGATTTGATCTTGTGTTTTTTCAGGGAGTTTCTTGAGCAAATGCTGTAGTTTCTTTTGGTAACTCTCAGTGGGATCAGAGGGTAATGGCTTGTAGAAAGTGGTGTTGGAGAGCTGCCGAGCAGCCCCTTGTTCATATTCCGACCTATTCATGATGACAACAGCACCTCCTTTGTCAGCCTTTTTGATTATGATGTCAGAATTGTTTCTGAGGCTGTGGATGGCATTGTGTTCCGCACGGCTGAGGTTGAGGGGCAAGTGATGTTGCTTTTCCACAATTTCAGCCCGTGCACGTCGGTGGAAGCACTCTATGTAGAAGTCCAGTCTGCTGTTTCGACCTTCAGAAGGAGTCCACCTAGAATCCTTCTTTTTGTAGTGTTGGTAGGGAGGTCTCTGTGGATTAGTATGTTGTCTTGTTTTTTCCTACCCCCCCCCCCCCGATGTTCTTGTTAAACCCTGGATTTGCGCTGGAAATGGCCCACCTTGATTATCATACACATTGTAAGGAGAGTGGTCACTTTAGATAAGCTATTACCAGCAGGAGAGTGGGTTTGTGTGTGTGGTGAGGGGCGGGGCGGGGTGGAGTGAGAAAACCTGGATTTGTGCTGGAAATGGCCCCACTTGATTATCATACACATTGTAAGGAGAGTGATCACTTTAGATAAGCTATTACCGGCAGGAGAATGGGGTGGGAGGAGGTATTTTTTCATGCGTTGTGTGTATATAAAAAGATCTTCTACACTTTCCACAGTATGCATCCGATGAAGTGAGCTGTAGCTCACGAAAGCTTATGCTCAAATAAATTGGTTAGTCTCTAAGGTGCCACAAGTCTCCTTTTCTTTTTACAAGACTTTGAGTATAGTTATTTTTACCATTTCCCCCACACAGCCAGGCTTTTAGCCATTTACATGGGTCTTTCACACAGCAATAGGAGAAAGAAGAACATGTAATGAACAGGTGCTGGTGTTTGTACCACTAGTGCTAATAATAGTAAATACCCTTTCATTTCTATAGAACTTTCCACCAGAAAATCTCAAAGCACTTTACAAACATTAATCAATCAATCAATACCCTTATGAGGTAGATGTCACCATTTTATAGATGAGGAAAGTGAAGCACAAAGGTGCAGTGACTTGCTCAAGATCACACAGTAAGCCTGTGGTAGAGCTGGGAACAGAATTCAGATCTCCTGAGTCCCAATCCCGTGCTTTGTCCACGAGATCATCTTTCCTCTTTCATTACTTATAGTACCCAGAAAACTTAATTTATCATCCAGAACCTCAAGAGCTGTCATTTAAAGATCCCATAGGAAAGAAGAGAAAACAAAAAACAAATCCTTTCACATTACAGACCTGCATAAAAAAATAAAATGGAGAGAGAGCAAAAGGAATCCAGACTAGTTAATGAGGACAAGTAGGCAATTTATCTTTCCTATGCCCTCAAATCTACAATACTGGCCAGATGGGATATGTTTGAAATCACAAAGAAGGAGCAGTGGCTGCCAAGATTTGAAGCAAGCATGCACAAGAAGATTTCAGGTAGTTAACATGAATCCAGAAGTGCCAAAAATTAAGATTACTACTATCTGATGTCTCCTCATTGAGGTAATTGGTAGAGACTGGTCCAGACTGGTGAATCTGATGGCATGTAATATCAAGACACACAGGTTATATACTAGGTATGTGTTATCTTCTAATGCTCCAAAGGTTGCAAGAATCTATAACATGGATATTAAAATCAAGATTTAAATGTGATGGTACCTGATATTTAGAAATGTTAAAGACTGTAGGTTCAGGATGGCCTCTGGGATATAACGAATGCAGTTCTGGTACAAGTTAAGGCTCTCAAGGGAAACAAAATGACAAGCTTCTGCAGGAAGCTCCGAGAGTCTGTTCCGTGACAAATCTGGAGGAAGGGGAAAAAAAAAAGAAAAGAAGAGAGAAACAATCACCAAATGACCTTTGACTGAGTTCTTTGGGTCAGGAATTGTATCTTTGCACATTGTGGGTGCTATAAATATAATATAATAATGGTCACCAGCATCAAGTCTGTAAAAGGTGTGTTATGACAAATCATGTAGTTACAAAAAGAAAAGGAGTACTTGTGGCACCTTAGAGACTAACCAATTTATTTGAGCATGAGCTTTCGTGAGCTACAGCTCACTTCATCGGATGCATACCGTAGTTACAGTTTCTGGGGTTGTTTGGTTTTTTGTTTTTAAGGGGGAAAAAGGAAAATCTTGTGTTTATAAAGACCAAAGGACATAGCCCAGAACATATGGCTTCCTTATACACCCTAACTCTTAACAATAATGTATATGTATTACCAAAGGCAAGAGAGGTTGTTTAGTGTCAGTCCTAATTTCCTTTAGAGAACCTGCCTGTTTAACAAACTGCATGACATTTCACCTCTTCAATGTCCAAACAAGGGCAAACATTTACCAAAGCAGAGCTCTCTAGTCAGCCCAAACTATTATTGTGCATGAGAAAAAACAAATTTAACATCATTTTATGTATTAATTGTGAATTATAAACCATGCCCACCCTAAAGTCACGTCACACTAAGGTTAAAAGAAGGAATACGAAGCTTACAAGGTAAACTGAACCATAGCAACTTTTTTATCCACATTAGGGCCAACAGTTCCTATTTCTTTAGCCTTCACAGAACCCACCCAACAATGCAGTCTATTCTTGAAAGCCTGGCAAATCAGATAGGCCTCGCAATGTGTCGTGAAGGTCACTTTCAAAGTAGAGGGGCCCCCCTTACTGAAAATCCCCTGCCATCAGATTCTTCCGGGCTGAACCTGGAGGTTGTTTAGCCTGTGTGCCTCTGCTTATCTCAACTGTGCATCTCTTATGATGAGAGATGGCTTCTAAGGTAGACAGGACCCAACTCATTAGAGTTTTATACATCTAAACCATTACTTAAATTGTACCCAGAAAAACTGGAAGCCAGTTCAGGTCATAGAGTCCAGGAGTAAAGTGCCCCCTCATCCCCTGCCTCCGAAGGAAGCACTGCTATTTAAGTAGGTCACTACATTCTGTGCAAGCTGAAGTTTTAGAATGGTCTTCAGGTAGAACGTCATGTAGAGTGCATTTCAGTAATCCAATCTCAAGGTATGATTACGGCTAACTGTAGCAAAGGCCACAATAGATCTAAAATGTTGCAGCCTTCATGATGTGCAGATGGGAGAAAAAGAAAAGTCATGACAAATCTGCTAGCTTGACATACAATTAAAACACCAAGACTGTGAACTTAAGTGACAAATGGCAGACACACACTCACATAATCAAAGGAGATGGAATAATGGAATAACTGCTGCCCTTTCCTTCAGCTGCTTCCCATAGTCTAAAAGCATAACCTTAGTTTAAACTAGGTTGAATATCGGAGAGCTATGATATCAGTCATATTAAATCCTAATCTTGATCAGACATTGAGTGAATCACTCAAATACACATCCTGATCCAATAAAACTGAAACAATGCTAGGGGTATCACACACCCCACAAGTCTCTCCCTAACAGCCTCTCATTGGGCAGCTGGGGCAACGAAGTAGAACCCTGAAGAGGCTTGCAAGTGAATCTTTGGGATAAACATGTCAGGAAAGATAGAAGTCACAAATTAGCAACTCCATCCATTCCTGTAGGCTTGTCTTCAATCGTATCAAAATATGCTGATAGACCTAATATAATCTGCAAAGACATCCGGTTATCCACTATGAGAAAGATCAACCAGCAAGGCAACCAGTGCACTGTTTGCATCATATCCAGGACTAAAGCTAGACTGATTGCGGTTTACAAAACTGGAAGACTCCAGCTACTGTGAGAATTACTACTATTTAACTTTATCAATAACATTCCTCCTTCCCCCGCCATCTCAGCTGGGAGATTCAATACAGGGTGGTAACTGACATTCTTTCAGTCAAGAAACAAATTCTTGAGCAGATGTCAAGTAAGAGATGTTGGCACCCTACTTTCTCAAACGGAATTGACAATAATGGAACAGCTGCCTCTACAGTGAGGAACAGGTCCAATTCACAGGTTGTTGCTCAAAGTTTTTCCAGCCCCTCCAAAACCAGGCTGAAACTCAAGCAGGAAAGACTCCTTATTTGTCCCTGCCTTCCTTCTTCCATCACTCTCTCCATCCATGGTTCTACTACCAAGGGCGAGAGAATTCACAGCTAAGATTCCTTAAAATCAGACTGAACTAGCTTGAGCACATCTCATTGTATGCAATAGTTGACTCTGTACCCAAGTGGATACATCCTGGATTAACCATGCTCTTCAACACCTGGAACAGTTCAGATGTTCAAGCATTTGTAGATGCTAATGGAATCAAATAAACTTCTCTATGCTTCTTGCACCGTCATAGCATACAATTTCAAAAAGTCTTTATGCCATAAGCAATCAGACTCAGCACAAGACCTCTCCCAGTGATGCTCTAGTCCAGCAGCTCCCAAACTTTATTGGTGCCCGTACCACCTTCTCAAAAATTGCTGTGAAATGAATGATGGAACATCAAGCTCATGTACCACCAATGATTACAAGAACCACATTTTGGGATCCCCTGCTCTAGACATTTCCCTTTCCAAAAGTTCTTGTTCTTTTCTCCCACAGTTTGTCTGATTCACGGTAGCATTCCTTTTTGAAAAATGATAGCAAACAAGAAAGAAAACTTGGCAAAAACTATATAACTGCTACAGATACATAAGACTCTGTATTACCCAAAACTATCACATCCCCATTGGGAACCCTTCTGCTCCAATACTGTACTAAAACGTAACATGAGAAAAGCTATTTCCAAACAAATAAAGTATCTCAACACAACAGAAAAATACCATAAACTGGGCATTGAGGATAGCCAATTATGTTATTAGAAATCACTAAAATCTGCAGTACACTAAAAATATTTTAGATACACAAATTTGCCATATGCTAAAGCACAACTGCACTGTGACATTCATAACATATGAAAAGAAAGGAAGGTCAAGTTGCCTCCAATTATTAAAAAAGTTCAAACAAGAAATAGGCGCAGAGTATAATTAAAAGATATACAAACATGATACCTGTTTAAATATCCACTCATTCCAGGAGCTAAAATAGCTTATGTCCACTCTAGTTCCTTCAAATAATTACTACAAAATCAATGTCACCTACAAGGTTTAAGACTTTGTTCATGTTTCTTGGGCAAACCCACCACCGCCACCGATCCCACTGTCATTATCTCAATCACATACTCAACTCCTTCCAACACACATTTATTTCTTTCCCTCCTTCACACAGATGTGCTGTCAAGAAGATTTTATTAACCATTTTAAAAAGGAAACAGCTCTCTCAATTAACAAGTCTCATTTTCTGGCAGAAGAGGCCAGGCAAGAATGAGTTTGACAACTGACATAAGAAGTCTCGATTGATTTTGGTTGCATTTGAATTTTACTAACCAGCATTTAAAACAAATCAAAACAGGCTTTATTTTGTTGTTCAGATCACAAGCATATGAATAAACAGTACAGAATACTGATGTTCTGAAGAGCTTTGTTTCCGTATTTTCTGAAGGAAGAAGTCATTGCAAAAGCACGATTAAGTGTGAAGAATAAGGAATCTTGCAAAATACATTCAATGTTAGTAAATTGTATATAAATTAGCATAACAGAGCCACCAAAGCATGTGTAAAGCAAAGGCTTCACATTTTTCAAACAAGGCTTGCCTAAATTTAGTGTAACTTTTACAACTCTATATATCTCAGCACAGTAGGAATTCAATAGAAATCTGATCAACTGGATTTATTTTTACAAGATCTTCAGAACATAATTGAGTTGAGGTAGAAGCATGGACTCTAAATCATCAAAAGAAGGCCTGATTAATTAAAGATTAGTTAATGGGGCAGCAGCAGTTTTACTCAAATGGAAGTCACCAGTTTGCCATCCTCTGCTCCAGGCTTGCTTTACAGAAAGTCTAGAAAGAGCCTAGGCAAGAGCAGAAAGACATCATATATTGCGAGGGGAGAAAGGCACTGCCACAAGAAGAGTCCAAGATGACTGTAAAATAGGAACTGCTTAATTGGACCAAGCACCTCAAGAGCCTGACAGAGGAAAGGTTATAGCAGAAAATCAAAATGACCATTTGTGAATGTGAAAACTGCAAATTAAGTGTTTCACGGGCAAATTATGAAGGTCCAACAAATGTACATACAATACCTCTTAATTTAAAATTCCAGTTAATCCAAGCCAGCTCAGTGCCCCCACCTTCTTAGCTTTGTCAATTAAGTGGAATTTTGCATTTTGTATGGTGGCGTCATTAGTCTAATTGGCAGATTCCTCTGAAAACTACCCTCCCCCGTCTGGAACAATCAGACCAATAAATCATTTAGGCAATACAGTAGTCCTATTCGGAAACAATTTAACAAAACAAAATCCCTAAGTGAAGAGAATAGCTCTAGCAAAAACAGGAGAGAAGAGTTATAAAGAACAATGAAGTGACTGGTCATACACGTATTAAAGTTGATTTGCAGCATAGCACTTCATGGTACATTTCAAAAAGGGAAAAGTGTGTATGTATAAGAACACAGACAAAGGCTAAGGGATTTTATTGGGGGAAAAAAGTGTCCTAAAATCTCATATATTCTTCTTCTGCTGAAGAGGACATAAAAATAAAGTGGAAGTAGCACTAAAGAAACAGAGACTGCAGAAATTTCATTGTCACCTCTAATCTGCACATCACAAAATTCACACAAACAGCTGGCTCCCCATTTCTCAGCAAAACTTTTAATGCCAAAGTGTTTTAGGAAGGCCTTGTTATTACTGAGACCTCAATATTTTTACAAGACAGACTGTAATACTTCTACTAATACAATAGTTTCATTTATTAATTGACAATAGTCAAATTAAGCAAACAAAATATATTTTAT